GCTTCAGTAGAAGCTGCTGGGAGTCCCAGCAGCTTCTACTGAAGCCAGTCCCCAACTCCGGGGACTTCCGGCCGGGGACTTTGGGCGGCTGCAGTGCCATATAGACTCATATAGACTTCTATCTATATGGCGCTGGGCGGCAGTATACACCATGAAGTGGTTTGCGGCCTGCCAGTAAACCCAAAGCAGAAGAAGAAGAAGTGACGTCAGCGGCTTCATTTGCCTAATCCTCCCCCAGGGACTTATTCCGGTGTGAACGCGATCTGTACTTAGTTCATGAGAACTAAAGAGTTCTCATGAACTAAGTTCTCATGAACCTTTATGGGAAAAGTACTGCGGTGTGAATGCGCCTATTATATTATTAGATTCGATTATTATTATTATTATTATTATTATTATTATTATTAGATTATTAGATTACCTATTATCAGATAGCTCATTTCTGTTTTTGTCACATTTTGAAAATAGTTTAAGTATTAGCAGTCATTTAAGATTTTTTCTTCATTTTATTAGAGATAAAAGAAAGTTATGTATTCCATGGCAAATTAGATGATGCTAAATAAACAAGAGCATGTGGAAACATTTCATTTCTTGAAATTACATTTAAAGGATATTGTTTATAAATGCTGATTGTAGAACGGATGTTAACTGTGACTCTTCATATCATGTGCTGACCCACAGAGTACTGAGGTGTGCTACAGTGAAGCCCATGCTTATGCATGTCTGCCCCAGATGGCAAACTTATATAGCCCTTGAGCTGCAAAAATGCTAAATGGCCAGAAAGCAGCCTTTTTCAAATAATGAGAGGGTTTTGCCAGTCTGTTGTTAGCGAGTAAAATAAAGTGAAATGCTGCATATCGTGACCCTTCAGTTTGAGTGCTAGCCCTTCTTTACACATTAAATTATTTCCCCTATTGATAGACCAGTTCAAACCTTCTCCAGACAAAATCAGTTTTGTTATCCAACCACACCTGCTTCTTGAGCCTCTTCGACGCCATTGCCTGAAAGCAGAGCTCTCAACAGCATGGATCTTTCTTGCATTCGGCTTCCAGTACAAAGACCCTTTATGAGAGAAATAAAGAGTAAAGACACGTGGAAATAAAATGTTAAAAGGGGCACATTGTTGTACTGATAGCACTTTCAGACCCTTATCTTTTGCACAGATGAAAATGAAATATAGAATAATTATATTTACCAATTGTCCCTTCCGACTCAACGATTTAATTCCCAACGGTGTCTGTAAGGATGTACTCCTCACTGTCTCCCATGGCCACATTCACTTTTCCTGTGATCAGTGGAACGCTTGCCTCTGATTCAACAAATCTGATCATGACCACCCTTGTGGAAACAATCTTTCATTATTTCTGACACATGTATTGACCTGTAATGCAAAAAGAACAGTGACACACATTTAGTTAGCAACATGGACTAAAACGTAACATTCTAAAGCATGCCAACGTATGAAATGGGCATCTCATTACTTTTGAAATGACCAAGGGGTGCTAATTGATCTAGTCAACTGACTGATGTTTGCAGTAGACATTGGCTGACTATGACGAAAAGCAAACGGCCGTGACTCAGCTGGCTCTGTCTGGATCCTTTGAGTCTCCCCAGGTTTTTCCCCATGAACCTCATAATGACCATGATCAGAGATGTCCAGGGAGCAGAAACACCCACTATCCAATGGAAAAAACCGCAACGTTGGCGGCATCAGTGATGAAAAGGCTACCTGCGTTGACCTAAAAGAAAATAACAGGTTATATATATTTCACAATTTCTTCTTTGTCTTTCCATGTGTGTCCTTGCATAATTTCTTCCTTTGTGTTGTTTCTTCAATGGTGGTAGTGGTTTATTAATTGTATTAAAAAAACATGCAGTTCGTAGTTAATCCTCAAGATTATTTGTATGCCTATATCAGACCTCAGTATCAATCTAAATGTCACTGATATAGTTTATAAATAAATGTCTTGCTGGACTGTACGACTAAATTGTCTCAGGGCTGTCACCAAGTAAATGCTGTTTTTAAGTTGTTGAAGTTTCTTCTTGCTTTGCTTCTGAAAAGTTCAATTATAGTTATGCAGTTATTTGTGCAAAACAGTTCATATAAAATAATTATCATTGAATCTTTTCACATCTTTTCATGCCATGTCTATTTTGTGCACCAAATTAAGGATACAATCCGATAACATCCTAATAATATCCTTCCCCATTTACAATGTGATATCTAAATATTGTTTTGTTTTTAAATTGAATGATTAACTGACTCTCTCGTCCAGATGACTCGTAGCTTTATTGCTATTGGAACAAGGTTAGCTTGTTACACGTTAACACACCATGTGCCTGTTCAATCAATAATTAATCACGGATCTCTTAAAAATACCTGAAAAATGCGGCTGATTCTGTCGACGCGCATGTCGTCTATTTTAAGAGTAACTCGCTGGCTGCCTCTGAAAAGAAAGTATGACTCCATATCTGTTTTTATTGTTAACAATATATTGCTATCGCCGTGTCCGACAAGTCGTTCTTGGCGGTAATGTGTGCATTAGGGGTGGGCGGATCGATCCCAAAATATCGATACTTCCGATATTACGTTACGTTTCAAAATATCGATACTAGAGCCAATAGGATCGATACTGTTATACTTTTTTTCTCGTCTCCTCTACTCGTCAATTTCTTCAAAAAACTATGTGCAGACGAACACAAGTATATGCTCTTTTCTTCTCTCTCCACTGCTGTCCTCTTCTCCTCAAGGCTCCCTGTCTGAACGCCGATTATCAAGCTGACTGACAGCAGCCAGCAGGGCAGGACAGCAGCAGCCAGCGACTCGCGAGTGCAACACACACACGCGCATGCATGATGGCTGAGAGAAAGAGCAGCGTTGTGTGGAGCAATTTCACAACTGGCCATTAAAACTTAGCGAACTGTGATGTGTGCAAGAAGACAGTTCGCTACTTTGGCCACTTTGTATTGTTATTTTTCATGTTTGCACTTTAAATTTGCAAAAGTAAAACGTGTATTTGTCTATAAAAACTGTCCTGTCTTTATTCATGAAAATGAATTCAGATTTAGTCTATTTATGATGATTTCAGCTCAAAAATCATGTCATGCAGCTCTCCCCTATATGAAAGTACATAAGACGCTTTTCATTAAAAAAAGTATCGGTATCGATATCGGCGATACTGGCCCTGAAATACTTGGTATCGGATCGAATCCAGATTTTGTGGTATCGCCCACCCCTAGTGTGCATTATACAGGGTGCATTTACGGCATAAATGTACCATCAATTTACACCAGGACTACTGTGCGCATGACAGGAAAGTTTGATCGCGGGAAATATAGTCACCCTCCTTATTAATAATAATGGAGTCCAGTTTGTTAGCCTACAGAGAAGTTATACAAAGTATGATAAAAGATGGTTATACTGATCAAAATATATCCGATCATCTCCAGTATGAATGTGGCTTAACAAATGGGTTCTCCCAAACAAACATCCGTCGCTTTTGTACCCAAAATGGTATTGGCTCTGTGCACAAGATGGCGTCTATCAACTTCTGGCGGCTGGGTGTGCGGTTGTAAACTTCCGGTCTACGGTGTGGAGTGGTTGAGCGGGTAGATAGCGATAGATAGATAGCGATAGATAGATAGATAGATAGATAGAGAGAGAGAGAGAGAGAGAGAGAGAGAGAGAGAGAGAGAGAGAGAGAGAGAGAGAGAGAGAGAGAGAGAGAGAGAGAGAGAGAGATATAGATATATAGATATATAGCATACAGATAGCATACAGATAGCGGTAGACAGTGGCGGCGCCAGGGTATGGCTGGGGTAGGCTACAGCCATACCAAGAAATGGCTTAGCCCTACCTACCTTAGCCCGACCATGAAAAATTATGTTAAAGTAAGCATGTTGAGAACACGGATTGCGAAAATCTACCGGTCGTGTCCACAACACACAAACTGATCCTGCTGTAACAACAAGTGCACGTTACTGACACAATATGGTTGAGACCATTCGGGCTTATGCTAGAGGGGTGCAAGGAATATGTTTCAGTCTGCAGCTTTATTCCGTAACTCACAACTCCATCACATGTATATTCCCGCGCTTGCGGATATAGTACATCACAGTGTAAGCCTGTGTCAGCATGCAGTTTACTAAAGCGCCAACAGGCGTCACTATATAGCAGGCATTAACAGATGCCCATATCTGTAACATCTCCTTTCCTTTAGCTGTAAACAACATCAGCATGTCACTTTAAAGTGCAGGTAAGAGCTACATTGTGTAAAGCTAACACTTTAACATTGTCAACCTCCAATACATGAAAACAATTACAATACTGATTAACCATGCAAGTACCGATACAAAACTATAATAATATCCAACAATTCTTTTTTTTTTCTTAACAGTCCAACAGACTTAGTGACAATGTTCCCAGTTGTATCACAGGTTCAGTCTCTGCGGCGGCCGTAACAGGCGACCACACCGCGAGTATACAGCTTGGCTCTCTGTACTCACTGGCTTCCCTGGTGTCAAACCCCGCCCTTGCGCCGGGACCCCTGGAGAGTGAGGAGGCTCCCCCAAACCTGTGTCATCCTGGACCGGGTCGGTTCGAGCTCCACCTGCAGCCCTCTCTGCGTTGACATGGCCCCGGTCCGTGTGGCTGCTCTGCTCCGGCCCTACCAGCTGTCGCATCCGGGCTGAGTGCTCCGCAACCCGCAGATCCACCCGGTTTCTCCTGTAGAGCGTGCCGTCCACCTCCACTACGAATGAGCGAGGAGCGACTTTCTGGAGGCATTGACCCAGTTGCCAACGGCCTGTGCGATCTCCTGGAAGAGGCCTCATCCTTATGTGTTCCCCAACATTCAGTTCTGGTAAGTCCCTTGCCGATATGTCGTAGGCGGATTTTGCAAGCCGCCGTTTCAACCGCAGCTTCTCCGTCACTCCCGTCACTAACCACGGTTGCAGCAAGCTGTCCGCAACCGGCAGCGAAGTCTTCAGCCTTCGTGACATTAAGCGTTGGGCCAATGGAGAATGGCCTGCCATTTATCCGTGCCATCCAACTTTGCCCGCTTGCAGAGTGATTTCACTATCTTGACAGCTGACTCAGCTTTGCCGTTTGATTTTGGATATCTGGGTGAGGATGTGACATGGTTAAATCCCCACTTTGCAGCAAACTTCCTGAACTGTTCACAGGCAAACTGTGGGCCATTATCTGTGAGCACTTTGTCTGGCTGTCCGTAGCGTGCAAATTGAGATTTACAGCGTGTGATGAGAGTGTCAGCTGATAGATCCGGCAGAAGATCAATCTCCCAGAAGTCTGAATAGTGGTCCACTAGGACGATGAAATCTTGGCCAGCGTAAGAGAAGATATCCATACTCACTGTTTGCCATGGACGTGTTGGGATATCATGCGACATCAATGATTCCTTCTGCTGGGCTCGTGCATATTCATTGCATGCAGAGCAGTTCGACACATAGTCTTTTATCTCTGTTCTCATGTTTGGCCAGAACAGCGTATCCCTGGCGCGCCTGTAACATGCCTCCCCCCCGATGTGGCTGGTGTGTATGCGTCTTAACAACTCTGCCCTCAAGGCCTTAGGGATAACAACGCACTGCCCTCTGTATAGCACACTGTTTTGCACGTTGAGCTCATCCCTGAAGGGCCAGTATTCTCGCACCAAGAGGGGGGTGTCCTCTTTGAAATCAGGCCATCCCCTGAGGATTACTGATGTCAAAGCTTGTAATACATCGTCCATCTCTGTGTGCTGGGCAATTTGGCGAAACCTGAAGTCAGTAACATCCAGATGCTGTGCCTGATCCAGCTCTGAGTCCTCCACCTGAAAGCTGTCCATGGAACACACCGCCTGTCGTACATAGGGGGTGTCGGAACCACGATACGGTGGAGTGGCCCTGCTTAGAGTGTCACTGACATACATCTCCGTGCCTGGTTTGTAAACAACATCCAGATTGTACCCCTGGAGCTGCAGTAACATGCCCTGAAGGCGTTTAGGCGCATTCATGAGGGGCTTCTTAAAGATGGTGATCAGTGGTTTGTGGTCTGTTTCTGCAGTGATTGTGTCCCTGCCGTATAGGTACTGGTGAAATCTCTGGCATGCAAAAACTATGCTTAAACACTCTTTCTCTATTTGAGCGTAGTTTTGCTCAGTCCGTGTCAGTGCGCGTGAGGCAAAGGCTACGGGCTGCCCCTTTTGCAGCAAGCAGCACCCCAGTCCATTCATGCTGGCATCACTCTGGATCGTTACAGGCTTTGTGACGTCATAATATTTGAGAACCGGCGTGTTGGTGACCATCTGCTTTATCTCGCGTATTGCATCATCGTGTTTTGGCAGCCAGTGCCATGCTGTGTCCTTATCCAGGAGTCTGCGAAGAGGCTCACAGATCTCCGATAGCCCTGGCAGGAACTTAGCCAGATATGTCACAAACCCGATCATGCGTTGCACTGCCTTAGCATCCGTGGGCGTCGGCATGTCCAACACTGCTTGAGTTTTCTCTGGGTCGATTTTCAGTCCTTCTGTAGACAGTACATGGCCGTGGAAATGTACAGCTTTGAGCTTGAACTGCAGCTTGCGTTCACTCAATCTGAGCTTCACAGCCCTGCACCGTTGCATGAGAGCTCTTAAGTTGGTGTTGTGGTCCTCTTCAGCCTCTGCGTCCGTATCGCCACACCCGACCACCAGGATGTCATCCGCAATAGGCTCGATGCCAGCCAGGCCTGATAGCAGCTCATGTTGCTTGCGCTGATAGATCTCTGGCGCCACTGAGACTCCAAACGGGAGTTTGAGCCATCTCATCCGACCCCATGGGGTCCAGAATGTCGTCAAGCGGCTGCTTTCCTCATCAAGCTTGCACTGGAGAAAGGCGTCACGAGCATCAACCAGTGTGAAGACACGAGCCTTGGGCAGTTTGTACAAGACGTCTTCTAGCGTTGGCATGTGGTAATGGGACCTGAAAAGTGCCTGATTGAGAGGCTTTGGGTCAATGCAGATTCTTATCTTGTCTGGTTTAGCTACTGTCACCATGTTGCTTATCCACGCTGTTGGCTTTGTCACTGGCGTAAGGTTGCCTGCTTTCACATGTTTGTCCAGCTCTTCCTTAACCCAGGCTTTTAGCGCTACAGGGACATTTCGTGGTGAGCACTGGACTGGTGTCACTTCAGGGTTCAGATCGAAATGAATATTACCTGGGACTGACTCGATCGGGTCATGGAAAACATCATGAAAGTCTTTCAGTAGCATTTCTTTTGTGAGTGGCATAGACTGGCTTGCATCAATAGTGTTCACCTCCGCTGGCAGTAGTTCTCTTGGAATAGTGAATTTCACAAGGCCCAGATCAGTGCATGCAGCACCACCGAGCAGGGGCTTTTGTTTGGTGTTCACTATCTCAAACACAAGTCTGTGTATTTTCCCCCTGACCACACAGTCAGTGTGAAATTTCCCCAGGGATGGCATGTATGTATCAGAGTACAGCTTTAGCCTTGTTCTGGTCGGCTGTAAGGCTGTCTTTGGTGACAGTTTCTCTTTAAACTGGCGGCCCATAACATTGCAAGTGGCCCCTGTATCTAGCTGGCATAGCTGTCTTTTCTTATTCAGGTGTAGGTGTACAAACCATTTGCGTCCAGGTGCTTTCACATTCCCCACATATTCAGTGACATTGTATAGGTTTTCACTTGTATCCGAGTCCCCTTCAGTTTGCTGTACATCCTCAACAACATTAACTTTTCTTGTTTTCTCTGCTCTGCTGCTGGCCTGACATACTTTTGCAAAGTGATTTGAAACGCCACATGCTCGGCAGGTCTTACCATAGGCTGGGCACTGCTCTCTGCCCCGTTTGTGTCCATTTCCACAGTATTTGCAGGTCCACTGCTGCTCTCTCTCAGCCGCTGTGTTTCTTTCAGCTGTTTTCCACTGTATTTTGCGTCGTCCGCCTTGCCTGTCCACCATAGAATTAATACTGTCCACCTGTGCCTGCGGGCTCTCAATAAGCCTCATGCGTGACTCCGTCAATTCTGCAAGGCGGCAAATCTCCACAGCTGTTGGCAGCGTTAGGTCCCGTTCACGCAGCAGTCTCCGTCTGGTGCTCTCGCTGGCAATACCGAGTACCAGCCTGTCCCTAATCAGTTCATCTTTTAGGTCACGGTACTCACATGATGATGCTTTTTCCCTCAGCTTTGTTATAAAGCTATCGATCGGCTCGTCCGGTCCTTGTTTGCAGCATCCAAACGTGTATCTCTCATAAATCACATTTTTTGCCGGCTTGAAATAATCCCCCAACGCATCCAAGATTGTTTTGGGGTCTTTCTTTTGTTCCTCGGTCAGCGTGACGTTGTGCATATATATATGCCGGCACTCGTTCCCCATAAGCCGTCTCAGCGTGGCTGCCTGCACTGCATTCGTTTTTTCGGTCAGACCTGTAGCGAGCATAAAGTCCTCAAATTCTGCTCTAAAAACCTCCCAGTTTTTGGCTATATCACCAGACATATGCATGCCCTCGGGTGCCGGAATACTGTTTGTCGTCATGACGTGAGTTTTCTTGAGCTTTTAGTCCAAGAAGACCACTTCTGACACCATGTTTCAGTCTGCAGCTTTATTCCGTAACTCACAACTCCATCACATGTATATTCCCGCGCTTGCGGATATAGTACATCACAGTGTAAGCCTGTGTCAGCATGCAGTTTACTAAAGCGCCAACAGGCGTCACTATATAGCAGGCATTAACAGATGCCCATATCTGTAACAGAATAGTCTAAGTAGTGGGGGAGTTTTATACACTAAAGGTGTGGACATTCTCTCGCGTTATAATCAAGCGGCAAACTCTGGGGAAGAGCCGGGACGCCAATACGGAAGTGCCACACACTGCAGTTCATACATGGGCCGCTAGGGACTGGCTGCAGAAAGGAGCAATTTCCATAGACCCCCATGTTAAAATGCCCAACTTTACAGCAGAAAAAAACATGTTTCTACCCATGGATGCAATAAATATTATTATCGATATAGTTAGATTCCACCTTCATGATTATGAATCTGTGAGTGAATTGTTTTCTAACACGACCCTTTTATTTATATTAGGTCTTAACGTTTTTGCATAAATTAGGGCGTGGTCACTTTAATGGACACGTACATGCCTCACTGTCAGCTAACAGCAACTTGTCCACTCCGCTACAACCATAGAGGCTACAACGTTAGTTAGTCATAGTACTGTACTTGACCCTTTAGCTTTAGCCGTGTTCGTGGTGATTGTGCCTTTTAGGGAATATTGTTACAAATACCAGACAATTAAAATGTCGTGCTGTGCGCTTGAATGTACTAACAGAACTTCCAAGAAGTCTAAAATGATAATATTATACATGTTAACCCCGTTCGCAAAAATGAATTTCAATCTGGCTTTAGAACATCCCACTCCACTGACACATGCCTTCTTTATTTGAGCGACCACATCAAACAAGAGGTGGACGAGGGCAAGTACTGCGGCATGGTGATGCTGGACCTACAAAAGGCTTTTGACACTGTCAATCACCCCATTCTGATTGACAAGCTAAAAGCAATTGGTTTTGATAAACTATCGGTGAGCTGGATGCAATCCTACCTGGAGGGGAGAGAACAGATGGTGGAGGTAAACGGTACTCTGTCCCCCCACCTCCCAGTGAGCTGTGGTGTTCCACAAGGAAGCATATTAGGTCCGTTACTGTTCCTAATTTATGTAAATGACATGTCATCAGCATGTGACTGCAACTTGTTCCTGTTCGCGGACGACTCAGCCCTGCTGGTCTCTGACAGGAACGGGTTGCAGGTTGAAAAAACCCTCAGCTCCGAGCTCGGCAGAATCTGCACCTGGCTCGCCGATAATAAATTATCATTACACCTGGGTAAAACAGAGTCCATTCTCTTCGGTTCGAAACATAATCTCAGCAAATCCGACGACTTCTCAGTTGCAGTGGGTGACATTATTGTCACAAGTAAGAAGGAAATTACATACCTAGGATCTATTCTTGAGGCAAACCTCTCCTGTGACAAAATGGCATCCAATGTAATAAAAAAAGTCAATCAAAGAACTAGATTCCTATACCGGATCTCCTCTCTGGTAAACAAAAACACCCTGAAAACTCTGGCAGGAGCACTCATTCAAGGGCACTATGACTATGCTTGCACGTCATGGTACCATAGCACCTCCAAGGCGCTAAAAATAAAACTTCAAACATCGCAAAATAAACTGGTCAGACTACTGCTTGACCTTTCATCTAGAACCCACCTCACCTCTGCCCACTTTGACAACCTAGGATGGCTTAGAGTAGACGACAGAGTACAGCTACTTGCAATGGGCCTGGTCTACAAGATCCACTACACCTCTATGGTACCCATGTACATGTCAAAATTCTTCCCAAAGGTCAAGGAATACCATGATCATAACACCAGAGGGAGCTCCACAAATCATGTGAAACCCAGATTTGGCACAAAAAAAGGGGAATACACGTTTCGCAATTATGCCACATCAGGGTGGAACGCTCTTCCCACAACTGTAAAGGAAAGTAAAACTATACTTACCTTCAAAACCTCTCTTAAAGAGCACCTTCGGGGGAGAGCATTGCAAAACTGGCCCCGGTAATGGTACAAATCTCAACCTGTCGTTCAATGGACAGCTTCCCCCCCCCCCCCACATCTATATATATATACTCGCATTTTAGACTCTGTTACTAACTGTATATCTGTAGACTTGGTATGTCTTAAATGTCCGGTTAGGATGTATTAGAACGAAATCTAAAATGAAAATTGTAAATAAGCAATCTGTATGTAAAAAACCACCTGTATGTAAATTGTAAATAAGCCATCTGTATGTCAAATATGTCTTAAATGACATGATGAATTGGAAATGGGGGACCCTGATGTAAACAAGACGAAAGTCTTTCTCTGGTCTGCATCCCCTTAACAATTGTATGTTTTGAGCTGTACTGTACTGTACCCAATATACAAGCTGTTAATAAACTTTTCAATCAATCAATCAATCAGGTGTTTGTGTGCTTGGTAGCTTAGCTTGTTACTTATTAGCCAGCTAAGGACGTAACCCTTTATGCATACATATACATTTTAGTTTATGATTCAGCCTTGGGTAAGACTTTTATAGTCTATGGCTATGACACCCATAATGCTAAACGGGAGCAAATGTTAATAGGGGACCCAATTATCCCAGTGGTGGCTGCCGGAGCTAACGGAGCCGCAGGGGGCTAGCTCCAGCCGGCGTCCCGGAGCTAGCCCAAGTGCTGCTCCGTTAGGTCCGTCTTTTCTCAACGTGTGAATGACAAGCATTAAGAATAACAAAATATAGCTAATTCTCTTGCAGCTAATTCTCTTGCAGATTGTCTCATTTGATTATGAATGTAATGTTTATTCTGCTAAGCTCCAAACTAAACTACACTGTTAGCAGTAACTTGGTATGCATGTATTTCATGTTAGCTTAGCTTCTTAGCCTGAGCCAGAGCCATATAATAGAAGAGTTATGACATCTCCGTTCACTCCAATGGACCACTTTTTTACAGCAATGGCGGATCGTGGAGCCTCTCAATCGTTCCCCGGAAGTTAGCGCCAAGGCTAGCAGAGCTGTGGAGTTGCAGCATAATAGACCGTTCGTGACGGACTTTTAAAGGTAAGAAGAAGTTTAAAGATTTATATTGCGGATATTATCAGTACATCTGATTCAATTGAACATGTGTATTAAAGGATGTCAGTGGATTATCCCTAAATTAGTAGATTTAGGGAACGTTTACAGATAACAGATCAAGCTAGGATACCGAAGCAAGTTAGCAACACACGTTGAACAGCCTTTTAATTGTAAATTCTGTTCTCTTAATGTCTATTTGGTCCAACGTTGTTGAATTAGAGAAGAGGGGCTTCTAAACGGGATTGTATGCGGGGGTGGAGGGAGTTCAATATTAGATAAATATAACTTTGGTGCGTGTAAGAGTGAGTGTTTTTAGCAGAGCCATATTGTGTCCTTGTGATTATGTTGATTATTACCTGTGTGTATAATGTTGCAGCTCAGCTGATTTTGGATTGATGGCAAAGGGAGAGGAACTTAAGTGAGAGTGAACACACAAGGTAAGTTTAATACTACTGTTTTAGGGAGTGGCTATATACAGGACCGTCCTGTACACAACGCCAAATGACTATATACAGGACCGTCCTGTACACAACGCCAAATGACTATATACAGGACCGTCCTGTACACAACCCTCTGAAATGGCTATATACAGGACGGTCCTGTATATAAGGTCTCTGAAATGGCTATATACAGGACGGTCCTGTATATAAGGTCTCTGAAAGGGCTATATACAGGACCGTCCTGTATACAAGCTCCGAAATATTTAAATATTTAATATATTTAAAATATTTTTGCTATATTTGTATTTATTCATGTTAGCAAACTATGGATAAGCTTAAAATGGGAATAATTTGGGTAA